CGCCCACCCCTCGCTGCCCGGGATCCACGCTAGGCTGATAAAATCAAGCGCGTTCTCTTTTTATGCCGTGCGGTGGGACTGTGGGAGGAACCGCTTAGGTTTATAACTGCATTTTATTGCCGCTTCACCCACCCGCGGGACGGGTTAGGGAAGTTACACCGTGGTTTCCAGCGTTGTCGTGTAGAAATAATCTGAAGAATCGAGCCAAAGTGAGGCTTAATCTAATTCGCAAAAATCGCTTTGGAAAGTTAGTGCTCATCTCAACATTCATCAGTCATCAGTAGGCGAATTTGTTTTTGATCTTTTGCGCAAAAAGCTGCAAAGGTCCTTCCATGTCTCTAAGGGTGGCAAAATTTCATGAAAAATAAAATCTTGAAATTTTACGTGTAATATTTCATGAAATTTCAGAAATTTATGAAAGATGCTGAGAAATACCGGTTCCTTTTCTTGTTACGCAAAATGTAAAAATTGTGACTTTCTACTACTTTTGTGTGTTTGAGTGCGGGTTGCATACTCTAGCCTCTGAAAGATACGAAATATTTCACAACATCGTGAAATTTCTTGAAATATTTCACTGAGATTTCCAATCTTAATTTCTTTCTTACGTTTCATGCCACCCTGATGTCTTTCACTCCGAGTTATTTGAGCTGGGACCTTCTCATTGGAGCCTTGTTCCCCACGTGCTGACAAAAGTCAGTTTAGAAATATGAGGGAACAGGTCTTTTGTGATGGATTATTTATTCTTTTGAGTGCCAAATGGCAATGAGATGTGAAATAGTTAGGAATTTTCTCATTTTCAGCTTTTCCAACTTAAATCTTAAAATTTTTGTTTGATGTTATGCTCTGTTGTTTTGAACCAAACGATACATCGAACCACTATCAAATACGATCCCTATATTAGAGACCCAGCACCAAGAATCGGAGGAATGTAATTGAGTGAGAAAAGAAGTTAAATCCGGCGGTCAGATCTTTTTTTTTGCTGAGGGTGGTTAATGAGCAACTTTTTGCGCAAAAAATCAAATAAAAGTCGCCTACCGATGACTGATGAATGATGAATGTTCAGATGAGCACTTTGCAAGGCGATTTTTGCGAATTAGACTAAGCCTCTCTTTGGCTCGATTTTTTATATTATTTTAGATTCTTTCTTGATCCCCCATAGTTTTCCTAAAGCGAGCATGACAACGAAGTTATTATAGCTTTGTTTTCTTTACCTGCCTGCCTTTTCTGGTGAAGACATCCTAGTACACGGCTTACGCGGGAATGGTGGAGAACCTGTTTTGTATGAAGTTAGTATATGTTGTTCAGCTCAATCTCCTTTATTATTTTCGTTTTCTTGCACTATGTGACGACAGCTCGATTAAACATGGCGGTTCTAAACGTCGACCCCGTACGAGTCGGCATTGCCTTGAGCGACTCTCAAAAATGCAATCATCGTTTGAGTGACGTCTTAAACTTAATGCATCAAGACGGATTTCACGACTTCATTCAAACTCGGTCTCCGTGACACACCTCCTCACCCCTACGCTTCGTCGCTTCGATTCACCCTCCGAATTGAAACCCACCTTACGTTCTTTATGCGCGGAAAAGCGTGGAAAAGAATGTAAATGCGTTTAGATTCTTTCTTTTTTTCTAATTCCTGTGAATTATTTGTTTATATTTGTTTACATGGCTTTTCTAATGCCATAAATTCAGGCAAATTATTAACTGATTTTAGAGCCCAAGTAGTACATATTGCATTAAGTTGCAATTACACAGTAAAAATATTGCAATTCCACTGAGTGTTGTGTATGTTGCCTCGCCTCTATTTAAAGGGGCCCCATTTATTGAAACGTATTGCAATAAAATTGAAATGAGTTCATATTATTCATTGCATTGCATAATGCCTAATTTTCTGACAGATGGAGCTCATTTTGCTGATTGTTTGAAATCAACTAAATGATGTAAAAATATTGCAATTTAATGGTAAAAAATTACGTTTTTATTCAAATCAAACTGCAATTCAATTTCGATATTTTCGCTGCATTGTGCTACTTGGGATATCAGCTACTGATTCATTCGTTTGCGAATGGGCCTGTTGCAAATTTAAGCTAGAGGGAAAAGAGTTTCTTTTGTACTGAAAATGGCTCAAAACTCACAATGAGCGCATCAAGGAAGTCCGAATTTCAATCTTAACTTCACAATCTGCGTTAGAAATATGGGGTTTAATAAGCCTCCCGCTTCAAAAACGATACAGCGGCTGGCCCAGGTGAACATTCCGTAACAGGACTAACAGGAGTTGTTCTATCTAACCCTTGCGCACTATAGGATACTTACACAATATTGAACATGTTTGACGCCTCCGCGCGCAATTCGCAAGGGGGCAACCATGGTCTTCATCAACGCATTGTAAATGTAATACCAAACACACCGATTGATAAAATCCTGTCTCGTCACGTGTGTTTTGGAGGGTTGGCGTTGGCCATGTTGAATATTGTGTAGCATCCTAGCGCGGAAGGGTTGAATGCGACAACTCCTCTTACGAAATGTTCACCTGTGCCGGGGTATCGTTTTTGAAGCGGAAGCTTAAAGAATGCATATTCTTCACGCAGATTGTGAAGTTAGGAGTGTATGTCAGACCTTCTCTACGCGCACATCGTGCTTTTGCAGGCATTCTCCATAAAAAAAAAATTCTTCTTCTTGCTCTATCTGAAATTTGCAGCCGGTCCAATGCTCAATGGAAACCAGTCGAGACACACAAACAAACGCACATTTTTTGTGTTTCCCAAGTATTATTTGCGAAAAAGTGATGAAAAAAGATACATTTGAGTTTTTTAGATAGGCCTCTCTGGTAAGTCTCCCTCCAACGTTGAGGAAATTAGGTATCCGGGTGAAAATTGAAACGCGTCATGCATGCAGAGTCCGCGGAGAAACAGGAAAGTAAGACAGCCAAGGAACGAATGATATTCTCAAGTTCATATTTCCGCGGAGATGATTGATAGCCAGAAACTTTTCTCTGTGTTCTTTTTCTTCTCGGGCGGGGAAGTGAATCACATCTGGCAGTTGCAACCGAATCAATTTATTCCTACAAATGTTCTTGGTAGCCTGAATGGGGGCAGGAAAAACGGTGTATCTCCGGGAAAAATCTTCGAGCGTGCCTCTCACTTAAACTCTAAATATAATATGGTTTCAAACGACTTTTTATTCAGCATGTTTCTGACTCAGTGGATTTATATCCCACCTTCGAGTCAAGTCTAAACCCTCGTCATCGTGTTGCTGTTGACAGACGAGGATTTTAATGCAATTTACGAAGAGAGTAACAAGGTGGTAAAAAAGTGCTGGGTCCATACTATTTTGCGGGGAAAATGAGTCCGACGAGTTCAAAAATTTCAATTAGAGTCTAAAGTTTGAGCTGTAATACATTGGGAAAAAAAAAACACATTGGATCTATAGTCCAGACCCTTGAAAACATTGACAAGAAAAAGGACTCTTGATTCAATCGGATTTTTGCTTAAATCAAGAACCAAGCCTCTTAATTTGAGCGGATTTCCTTTTGATTTAAGCTTAAATCTGATTGAATCAAGACTCCTTTTTCTTCTCAATGTTTTCAAGAGTCTAGACTCTGGATCCAATGTGTTTTTTTTCCAGTGTGAGTATCAGTACAAAACTGAGGAGGGAGAGTGTTCTATTGAGGCAGATGCATTGGACATGCATTGGACTAATATAAGAATGCTAGGAATACTAGGAATACTAGGAATACTAGGAGAATACCAGGAGAATACCAGGAATGGAGCATGTATGGTAAAACTAGAACACTTTGTATATCCATTCTTAGCGTCGCAAACTTCCTGTCTTATTTCATTTAAATGAAAGAAAAACAACCCTTCTTTAATTTATGAAGGGTCGTGCTCCTTTTTTTCTCTTTTAAACGAAGTTAAGAATTTGCATGTTACCTAGTTTTTCTTAATTATTAATTAGCTAAAGTTATTCTTAGCGCGACGATCTTTGATAAGGGACCTGATCTTCCGAAAATTCAAAATTTAGTAATTGTTACTGAAGGAAGTTTTGACCTTTAGAAGCAAGTTTGGCTCTCACAGCACAAACATTAAGGGGGGAGATACATGCCGTCTTGAAGTTCCAGTCCAAAATTTGTTAGACTTGGGTTTCTTTTCCCCTTTTCCTTTTCCTGTGTGGTAATGATCGGAAATTCACAGAAATTCTCTCTAGGAGTTGATCAGTTAGCGCACTCTGTGATGATAAAATGTTCCTCAGGCTTCCATCGATGGTGCCACTCGTTGAGAACTCAGTACGCCACAGGACATGTGAAAAAGGACCTAAGCTTCCGGCAAAAGATTTTCGAGGAGAACCGAACTAAGGGAAACGATCAAAATGGAGATGTTGCATGTGTGAGGAATTTGCGATTTGACTGTTGATTCTTACGTAAAAGTTCGCGAGAAACACAATGTTGCCCCTGGTTTTCTCTGAAATCAGCTCCCAAGCTCAAAAACAGCTCTCAAGTTGAGGCAAAAATGGAGGGGATATCCCACGCTATCCTGAGAGTCCACTTCTACATCGAAACAAACTCTCCATGCAAAGATAGGGAGCAAATACATTAGCAGTGATGCCTTGTTTTCAGTTTTAGAGTCCCCAAATAAAGCGGCAGCCCTGTCAATGTATTTGCTCCCTAACTTTGCATGGAGAGTTTGTCTTGATATAGAGGTGGACTCTCAGGATAGCGTTGGATATCCCCTCCATTTTAGCCTCAACTTGAGAGCTTTTTTTGAGCTTGGGAGTTAATTTCAGAGAAAACCAGTGGCACCATCGTGTTCCTCGCGAACTTTTACATAAGAATCAACAGTCAAATCGCAAATTCCTCCCACATGCAACATCTCCATTTTGATCGTTTCCCTTAGTTCGGTTCTCCTCGAAAATCTTTCCTCCCAAACTATGCGGCAAACACAAGCGCGGCCTGTGGAGCCAGTAGAACCGATTGTCTCAAGGTGGTGTTTGTAATAATGTTGCAGGAGTTGCGGAGGCGATGGATGGATGGAACTCCTCGGTGCAGCAGAATCCACACTTGGGCAACGAGGATGAGGACAGCGTAGAGCTGGACGTGGACAATAAACTGGAGACGCCCTACGTGGAGATCTACTTCGACCCCCCGCCGCCCAAGATGCCACCCATTCCGCCCCCGCCGGACCTCATGCCCACGCCTGGCGGTAAGCCCAATACCCCACACTTAAATCCAATCGCTCAACGCCTCTCAACAATAATCAACGAGACCTCCTTCAATTCCAAAGCTATGCTGTCGGGCTAAAAACATCGTACGTCGTATGGAAATTCCAGAGCTCTCAAATTTCCCGGATATAATATGAATTTTTTAGGAAAGCCATGCTCCTAATTCCTTAAAAACTTTAGATTGAATTGAGACCGAAATTGTCTAAAATTAACCCAGTAAATTCGGTTTTTATCGAAGGAAATATGGCAACGTTAAAAGGCGCTAAAATGCGACATTAGTATATCCACTGCGATGTTTCAAAATGTCCGTTTGTTAAGAAAAAGCCAACTTAATAGCTTGAAATTTGTGCAGATTATCCTGTTGATAGAGGAGAAAAATCAAGGTAGTTTTCAAGAAATTAAGTTGACTACTTTCCCAAAGAAACAAAACAAGCAGGAAGCTCCAACGCATTCGCGTCGGAAAGCGGCTCTGGCGACGGTAGGTAGTTGTTACGCGTTTACGGTTTCCTTGGTAACCTTTGTTTGCTATCAGCTGATGTCGAGTAGTATGACTAGGAAGCTCCAACCACGGCATTCTTCGAAAAAAGCGCGAAAACTTATAGATTTGAATTTTCAAATTTTAAACGTAAAGTACATTTTTTCCAGTGCGAGATTAAAGCACAGACCCGTTTTGAATTATTGACAGTATCACCATGATTCCAAAAATACACTACACAACATAGCATTCGCTCACAGGAAAAAGATATCAATTAAAATAAAATCAGTCCCCCCTAAACAGCAGAAAATGGCGCCGATTCCCATCAACCAACACGCGGTCTCTCCAATGTAACATGGTCCGTTGATACTCCCCAGCTGGGACCGTCCGGAATAGCAGCTCTAGTGCAGGCACCAGAGCCGCTAACTAGTGCAAGCACCAGAGCCGCTAAAAGTCTACAAGTTGGATGATGCAAAATCGACGTATTTCATCGTTAACTATTAAATAAACCTATATCATTTATATTGTGTAAATTAGACGTATGTGCCATTTCCTGCATGCATATGTACCCCTCTGTCTTAGCTTTATCATTTAATTCATTGCAAGCTCTAATCGCTCCTCTTTTTCGTCGTTTTTGAGGTGCGCGAGTAGAAAATCTAGACTTACACCACTTTAATTTTCAATATTGAGATAAAAATATGTCATCAGGTGTAACCTCGTCATGATGGGTCCTAAATTAGGCTCCTCTTTCCGTAACCTCAAATTAGAGAGTCATCTGAAGGAAGCGAGCGATCATTGCGCATTTGAAGCGCCTTCAAATGAGCGTATAGGCCAAATACCTACCTAGACGTTCGAATAGTTGCCTAACCGATCTTTCGTTTGAAATACGGAGTGTGGGATGTTGGTGATTCTCTTGTGATCCCTCTCGCTGAGTTTCACATGCATCTTCAATCTCTTTAAAACATCTCACAGATATGTTTATGAAATTTAAAACAATAATCATCCTTCGTTTTTGTCATCAATGCATATTTTGTTAAATGAAAGTTACTACAGTGCCTTTCAACGGGTGAGGCCTCTATCTCTAAAAGTAAATCTAATTCGTTGTGAACACCATGATAGGTCATAGTCTTAAAAAAATTACCAGTTTTTGACGTTTTTAAAGGGGTCGTAAAATTCGAAAGAAGGAACCAAGGTTGTCCACTTTCGTTTTAAAATTGTTTCACACCTAAAAACATGAACTATGACATTGCAGAACTCTTCCTCAAAATTTGTAACTTTCTCAGTTATATAATTTATTAATTTTCTAAAGGAAACATCGTTTGTTTTGATTTTAAGTTAGATTACACGTGTATAGTAGTTATACGTACACAAGTACACAAATACACAAACCTACTAACCTGCGATGAACCCAATGTCACATACGAAATACTGAAACTTTTTGCCTCCCTTAATTTCAAAATCTGAATTTTTGTATACGCACCCATCTTCCATATTCTTTGTATAAAGACATTAATAGCCTAAGATGTTGAAACTGACTAACTAACTATAAACATATACATACATAATACATACTTTTTTCATATACATGGTATATATTTCAATATGTATAGCTTAAGTTTCTTATTACAAAACCATGTCTCAAGAGTCGGTTCCCACATTATAATAGCAAAAAAGATCATAAAATTTCCTCAGAAAAAAAGAATACATATTTTTCAGTAGATTTTTAAGAGAGATTGACAAGTCATTCGAAAGAAATTCAGGAATTTTTGACCTTCAAGTTGCGCGACAATGAAATGTGCCCTTTTCTCCTCCTTCAGTTAAAGACTAAATTTTACGTGACAGCTGGCTAGCGCTTTTCTTTATAATCTGGTAGCTTCCATTAAGATGGGGAACAATAGCTTTGACTGCTTGAATGTCTCAGAAGTGAATCCCTCTCCTTTCTTGATTCATCCAGAAATCCGTTCTAACTCCCCCGATATCCTTTGTTGCCAAGGAAAGTAAAATGTGACCCTTTTTTGTTCGTTTATTTCGGCTTTATCATACAAATATTCTTTACTCACTAATCTCAGGAAGTAAAAGGATTTCAGAAACTTTTAACTCAATGATGGACGTATCGACAAGTGCGATCTATGTCGGTATTTTTAATTTATTGTGACGTCCTGCGAAAATAATCAAGATTAACTAACTGAATAGGGAAAATCCCTCAAATGATCTCAAAATGATTCTCGGTGGCAGTGAGCCAGTTTCATTAGTCACAGATTAGTAATTTAATGATTAGGTGTCTATGATTGGCAGATAAATTATCCCCTCCATTTAATTCCAAACATATATTATCATCAAATACCAGATATTTCGCCGTTTGGAATTCACGCTTGCTGACCTCACTAACCGCGATAAGAATTAGGTTATTTTCGCCACTTGTTGATGGATCGAACGTTCATATCGTAATTTTTGTGCAATTAACTCAATCACTTGGCTGCATTTTTGGGGTGCAACTGCTCCATTTTGAGCAGAATGACCCACCAAAATGCACTTATAAACAGCGGCTGTCACATAGGGCTTAGTGTTTCTCTATCGCCGTGTATTCGTTTTGTGATTAACACAAGTTATGTATTTTCAAACGATGAGTTCGGGTCGAAATGGGCCAGTTGTATTAGTAACAGAATTGTCTTTGGGTGCTTGATTCTTGTAGATTAGCTAAATTTAAGAAGATCTGTCTAAATAGCAACTTTCTACGTTGAATATTAGCCGAGATATCATCCTTTGAAAAGTCGGATTTTTGACGTCATCAACCGCACTAGAAAAAAAACACATTGGATCTACAGCCCAGACTCCTAAAAAACATCGACAAGATAAAGTACTATTGATTCAATCAGAATGTAGCTTAAATCAAGAACCAAGTCGCTTAATTTAAGCGGATTTCGTTTAGATTCAAGCAAAAATCCGATTGAACCAAGAGTATTTTTTCTTGTCGATGTTTTTAAGAGTCTGGACTCCAGATCCAATGTGTTTTTTTTCCAGTGTAGTGCATAACATGGTACGTATTACCGCAGTGGGTGACGTCATAAATCGAGTTTTTCAAGACGCGATATCTCGGTTAATATATAACGTAGATAAAGTTGCTGTTTGGACAAATCTCACAATTTTTAGTTGATCTGCAAGAATAAAGCACCAAATCTTGATTCTGTGACCGGCGTAACCGACCCATTGACCGGAATGGACGGAGAGACACAACGCTCTAAACTTTCCGACGGTCGAGAGAAAATATTGATACCGCGGCAACAGCGTATTTTCCTCCATCAGTCATCCTTGCCCGGCCAGAGGGAAACGGGAGATTATCATAACTCAATGTTTGCGACACAATGGAGGAGGCTAAGTGTGTAAACGTACTCCCACCCGCGGTGTTCGATCATTTAAAATCATCGCCGTTCCATTGTCCTTTTGAACGGAAGACGAACGCCAAAACGTCGTCTCGGAGCTGCGACCCTTGTCCGGAGCCGTGATTTCTTGGCTCGGCGAAGAACATTAGCGCCAGCTTAACTAGATGCTCTCCAATTCGACAAAACATGAAAACATTTGTGACTTCCGAGAATACTTGTGTTCGTGGGTTGCTTTTGATTGATGTAGGAAGTGAAACAGCAGAGCAGAACATCGTGCATGAAATTATGACCAAACAGCTTGTCTGGTATGGTCATGTTCAACGAATGGCGGATGATAGGTTGCCTAAGAAGGTGCTAGATTGGGTTCCTCCTGGGAGAAGACGTAGGGGACGCCCAGCAAAATCGTGGATTGGTGGCATTCAAGATGAAATCACAAGATGCCATCTACCAGATGACCTCTGGATCGATAGGCAAGGATGGCGATTAGGTGTCGCAGAGCGCCCGAGCGCGCTGTAAAGCGACTGGAATGTATGTAGGAAGTGAAACACGAACAAATTCAAAGTCGGTGTCATTTTTGGCACAGTTTGCGATGAACGTAGCACTAAAAACGATGAAAAATAGGTGAACTCTAGAACCAGCCGACGCACAGTGGATCGAGTCAATAGGAGAGGTCGGACAAAATTTGAAAACTTTAAACGCTTATAACGATACAGAACTTGGAGGCTCTGAGAGTGGTTCCATTGGTTCTCTCGTGAAATTTTCCTCTAGATACCCCCTATGAAATTCAAAAGGTGACGAAATAAACTTTAAAAGTTGCGGTTTTAGCCGAAAAATCCATGCCCGACCTCTCTAATTGACTCGATCCACTACACTGAAAAAAAAAGTAGCTTGGATCAAGCATGATAATTCTTGAATTTGCCGCCAAGAATTTTCTTTATCTTGCTTTAAGCTGACTTTTTCTTGATTCAAGAAAAAAAATGCTTGGGTTAAGCAAAAAAGTAGCTTATATTAACCAGCAAAATTCTTGATTTAAGAAGAAATACTTCTTGGCGGCAAATTTAAGATTCTTTTTTTTCCAGTGTAAGCAATGGCTTTGTTTACTTTGTGTTCCTTGTTCCCGCGTCAACCGAACTTGTGTCACAAGTGGCGAGGCGTAAATGATCGATTATCGATATTTCCCCATTAGAAACCATGGCGAAGAATCGATTATTAAGTTGTTCGTTGCGGACACCCTCCGTTATCTGTCCTTCTCCATGGGTTTAAGTGGCAGATCAATCGATGTATCGCATGCAAGACACGCCACGCTTCTGTGTGTCTTGTCTCATTTTAGCTTCCGGTGTGGTTTTCGCCAAGTCGGCCAACTCCGGCCCTATCAAACGGGAAGAAAATCAGTTTGTGGAAAAAAATAATTGATATTTGTCATTTGTGGAATACAATAAGAAACAATTGAACTTATTTTCAAACAATATTTTATTGTTACTAGTTTTCTATTAAACTCACACATCTTCTTTTAAACTCACACATTTCAATAAGATAGAGTTTTAGATAGGGAGGGATGGGGGGGGGGCGGAAAAGTATCTCCGAGTGTTAAAATCGAGGATGAAGTGAGATGTGAGGTAGGATCATCTTTCTCTTGGTCAAATTTTTCCACACCTCTTTTAAACTCACACATTTCAATAAGATAGAGTTTTAGATAGGGAGGGATGGGGGGGGGCGGAAAAGTATCTCCAAGTGTTAAAATCGAGGATGAAGTGAGATGTGAGATAGGATCATCTTTCTCTTGGTCAAATTTTTCCACGCGCGGGGAGCATTTCAATAAGGCGGCTGCCCTTGTGAATGAAGTGCAATTCAGGAGCTATTGCACGCAACGACAATTCATCAAGGAAGGCATTTAGCCGGCTCCCAAGGTCCCGGACAACGAGCGTGTGGTGCTAAACATGATTCCACGTCTTCCGCTGCATTTCACAACCCTCCCCAGAGCCCAGACTTGCTTCGTGCTCCCTGTATAAAGTTTCCTATCTCAGCGTCGATTCGTTGAGAAGTTCATGAAAAGGCCTCGCCAAGGGTTCAATTACACTCACGTGCGGCCGTGCAAGTATCACGTTCGGCATTTTGGCCGACTCTTTGAACTCCTACTTCTTGAAAGGCACTTGTATGACAGCCTCTCGTCCTCTTTTCCTCCTACAAATCAGGCAAGATTGGCCCAAGCTCCTCCCCCCCCCCATTTATCAGTTTGTAACCGCAATAGCCTGAAAAGTAGCTTAATTAATTATATAAATTAGAAATATTGTTTTTCTTTAAAAAGGAGGACTTACATGGACTCCTTAAACATGGAGAGATGATTTTAACGCATTGAAAACTCGCCTACAATTTTAGATGTAGGCAACACGGGCTCCCACGAGGTCGAACAGTGGTATCATCTTGAAATTTCACGCTTACTCTAATCACAGCACACAGACGCGGAGAAGTGGATTTTCCTAAAACTGTATTCCCAAGTGTAAGATTCACTTATACTTGTTTAATTATGTCGTGATCCGTCTGTATTGATTTATGACTCAGATGATGGGTAAAACTTGAAACGCATCAGCGGAAAATGGAGGTAAATACTTTCTTAATAAAGTATACAACTCGATTATGACAACCCGTATGCTAAAAAATTGTTCATGCTTTTTTTATATCGGTGCTCAGGGTATTTCATGTGAACACAGCCTATTTTTTTTAAATCCTTATTGTAATTTTGTTGCTTAGGTCCAATTGTGGTGAGAACAGAAGAGGCGCTAATCGTCATATTTGTGCTCATACTGTGGGTCGCTGCAATAGCTTTGTTCTTCAACCGATGGGGGAAAATCCGGATGCTGGAACCGTATCAACCGAAATTCCACGAGGAACATCGGACCAGCTGCCCCATGGTTGAATACCAGATAGCCGGAGGTGGCCTTGCTCATTGTCAGGTAAGGTCTACTCAATGAATTTCTAATATTTTTCGCACGATTTTTTTACGTTTACAGTTAGTTCTCTGATCACTTAAATATTCATTTTTCAACATTATTTCATTTAGAGATCTACTCTGCCGTGTAACCGAAAAGAACATTAATGCAAAAATGAGATTTTGAGGAAATTGAATTATATATAAGTCAATGTCCTTACAATTAATAGCATAGAAACTAATCTAAGTCGAATCAGACGCTATTATAATAGCATCTGATCAGAAAATTCTATTGAACAAAACCTTCCATATTTTGTGACATTGTCAATAGCCCCAAAAATAGCATTATAAATTGTTGGGACGATTAAAAATCGACAAATTTCACTTTCGACTGTGTAAAAAGGGCCTTCGTGTAAGGAAAAGCAGCAGTACGTGTTATGTTTGGACTTACGGCTAACAAATTCCATGGTTAACAAGTGGAAGAAAAGGGTATCATTTTACTCAAGACAGCGGTAAGTTCAGCTTTGAGGAAAAAGAGGATCGCAAATTTTCCAAATTAGAGGAGGGGGGAGGGGTGATTTTTGTCCAGCCGAACCCTGTCCAGCGGTTCATCTCGATGGTCCAAGTCCGAGACAACGTGTTGCGACGTCGCAGACTTCCGATCGGACTTAATTTTTTCATTGGCAAACTAGTCAACTCAATTCCTTAAAAACTTCCTTGGTTTTTCTTCTTTACTAGCAGAATATTCCGCGGAAATTTCAAGTTATACAGTTGACTTATTTCTCTTCGAATAAATGAAATAGGAGTAGAGATTTTGAAACACCGCAATTAAGATACGTGTTTCCTTACTTATTCGTCGATTTACAGGTTCAATTAAACGGTGACCTTCGGGAAATGAACTTGGTCGTTAGGAATGGCGTATTCTTCGCACCTACTCCGCGTACCTCGGTTCATGATCATTTATTTCGAGGAGGAACTTGTTGAATTTTAGATGCTGACAGCTTATCAGATAGTTACTGCCTTTCGCAGACCGGAAAAGTTTCAAACGTGGTCCTAGTGAGAGCGCGTCGGCGATTGAAGGGCATCGCCGTGGCCGCGCCGGTGCAGCCAATCGTAAATCACTCTCCATCTTTTCGTCTCACGATTTATCTTCGTTCCCGCTGGAGAGGAAACGAAATTAGCACGATTCAGCGCCCGAAAATAGATCCGGATCTGTTGTCAGTCGTCGTGTCAAAGCGAATACATTATAAAACATTCATACGTTAACAACATAGAGAGAAGCCAGTAAATAGGAAGCGAGTTCAGTTGCGTTAACTTTACGTCACGTTTTTAGCGCCGAAAAGGTTTCCGCGCAATTATCGCAAAAATCAATTGCACAAGAATTAAACCAATGACGTTTGCGCGTAATGTACTCACTGGAAAAAAACACATTGGATCTAGAACCCAGACTCTTGTAAACATTGACAAGAAAAAATACTTTTGATTCTATCGGATTTTTGCTTGAATCAAAACGAAATCCGCTTCAATTAAGAGGCTTGGTTCTTGATTTAAGCTAGATTCTGATTGAATCAAAAGTACTTTTTCTTATCGATGTTTTTAAGAGTCTGGACTCTAGATCCAATGTGTTTTTTTTCCAGTGTTGTTGAACAACTTGTACCTACACAGAAATAAATCTCCACACAAATTGTTGGGTTAATACGGAAAGTAAAACACAAAATAACCCTAGCCTTTGGTTGACAATTATAATGCTCAAATTTGCACCCTGTCCAGTGGTATACCACCGATGTGACCTAGGTTCGATTCTGGAAGCTGGCAACTATTTAACGAGGTCGCAGATTTTCAACGCACTGATTTGGTCCCTCCAACTCAATTATTAGATCGATTTGACACAGCGGAAACTAACATACATAAGAATCAACCAACAGCTTGTGTTAATTCATGTTTTACCTCCTAAAAATATTTTAACTCAAGATTTTGGTTACTTTTTCTTATTATGCATTGCAAAAGCAAGTCTACCTTGTTAAAGAAAAACGCCGTATGAACATTCGAGAGTTGTCAAATTTCCTTCGATTAAATGTTTCTTTGTGGGAAAAGTTATGAACATTTTTCCTTGAAATTTTCAGGAATTTAAGGTGCAATTGCGAATAAAATTATCTGAAAAACTATAGCATACATATTCATCAGTCTTCCAAAATAGTCGTTTTTGATCAGAGGAAATTTGGCAACGCCTAAAGGTTCATACGGCGTTTTTCCTTAGCACGGCAGAAGTGGACTGCATCTTGCAATTGAATCGACGTACGCAAAAACGTCCGTTGTCCAACACAGGGTTTCATAATTGCGGTGGGTTTCTTTTGTCCCACGACACTGCTGAATAGGATCGATCTCTTTTATGTAAACGTTTAATTACCCTTAGGGGATTATTTATAAAATTTTCCTACATTCCTAACGTCTTAAACCATCATGTGTCGTTATGTTACAACGAAATTTTCCACACAAACTCTGAAACTCTGTCTTGGACATCGGACGTTTTCGCGTACGTCGATTCAATCAGGGACTTCATCCGTAAAGAACATTATGTGCATGGGGAAACTGATGGCGCGCACGCTGTTTCTAAACTGATTTGGAGCCAGAAATCTTTGTTTCCAATTGAAAAATGTATTCCAACTTAAACTGGATATCCCGGCAAAATTCTAATTCCTTATCCACCAATCACTGACAAAAAACACATTGGATCTAGAGTCCAGACTCTTGAAAACATTGACAAGAAAAAATACTCTTGATTCAATCAGATTTAAGCTCAAATCAAAAGGAAATCCGCTCAAATTAAGAGGCTTGGTTCTTGATTTAAGCAAAAATCCGATTGAATCAAGATTATTTTTTCTTGTCGATATTTTTAAGAGTCTGAACTCTAGATCCAATGTGTTTTTTTTTTCCAGTGATCCACGAAACCCAGACGCAAAACACCGCGATGAGCTGTGGATCGGATAGCCTCGAGTGTACTCACTCGAAGTACGGCAGGCTGCATCGGCCGGCAGGAAGGGGCCGAAATTGAGGTTAGGTTTGGGCCAGGAGTAAATGGTTAGTTGCAGGTTGGAGGTCGGAGGAAATCTTGAATCTAATTGAATCGGAACGAACGAACGGACGGGGTGGCGAGTTAACCTAGCATGAGAGCCGTTTCTATTACCGGTGATTATCAGCGAGATCCACCGACTCGTAGTCGAGTAGAGAGTACTTGATCACGCCGCAGGTGCTTTGAATGTTCCTATCGCTTCCAATCACCCCCCGCCCGCCCCGCTCTTCTCTCACCGTGTTTTTCCGTTCGTTTCGGTCAGGTCGGTCGTTTATTCCACTTCTCGCAGAAATTATCGCTTTTTGCAGTTTTTCACCGTGTTTTTTATTGCCTCAGGTTCTATGTTTCAATTTCAGGGGGCAGTTACCTACGGCCCTTCACAACGTTCCTGTATTAGTATTGCAACCCTCTACTATTCTGTTTTAGACCTTTTTCCTCCTGTCTCACGAAAAAGGGGGGAGTTACTTAATTCTGACGCAGTACACTGGAAAAAAAAACACATTGGATATAGAGACCAGACTCTTGAAAACATCGACAAGAAAAAGGACTCTTGATTCAATCAGATTTAAGCTTAAATCAAAAGGAAATCCGCTCAAATTAGGAGGCTTGGTTCTTGATTTAAGCTTAAATCTGATTGAATCAAGAGTATTTTTTCTTGTCGATGTTTTTAAGAGTCTGGACTCTAGATCAAATGTGTTTTTTTCCAATGTAAGCAGTAAATGCAGTTTACTTAAAGAACCTTAACGGCTGACGATTACCAATTTAGAGTCAAGTTTTCACCTTCCGGCATTATCACAAGCGCCATGCGACGTTTCAAAACGAATTTTTCAATTTTTCAAATTTATGAACGTTCTCTTAGAGGAGCGCAAACAGGGTTGACATGATCAGGTAATACCGGGAAATGTCAGGGAGAAGCTGGAAATATCTTGGAATTTTCGAAAGTCAGGGAAAACTTGGAAACGCCAGGGAAAATGACGAACGTTCCAGGGAAAAATTGTTACGTCACCTTCAATCGCTCGCCGCAGTGAGTATGCAGTTTCGAACTGAAAATTTCGCCTGAAAACGATTTTAAATTATGTCTTTTTAACCATCTGGCATAGTTTCAATTGTCCGGGAATGGAGATGTTACATGAGTGAGGAATTTGCGATTTGACTATTGATTCTTATGTAAAAGTTCGCGAGAAACACGATGGTGCCACTGGTTTTCTCTGAGATCATCTCCCCAAGTTCAAAAAAAGCTCTCAAATTGAGGCCAAAATGGAGGGAATATCCCACTACCCTGAGAGTCCACCTCTACATCAAAGCAAAATCTCCATGCATAGATAGGGAGCAAATACATTAGCAGGGTTGCCACTTTATTTGGGGACTCCAAAACTGACAACACGGCAACCCTGCTAATGTAGTTGCTATCTATCTTTGCATGGAGAGTTTGTCTTGATGTAGACGTGGACTCTCAGGGTATAGGGTGGGATATCCCCTCCATTTTGGCCTCAACTTGAGAGCTTTTTTTGAGCTTCGGAGTTGATTTCAGAGAAAAACAGTGGCGTCATCGTGTTTCTCGCGAACTTTTACACAGGAATCAACAGTCAATCGCAAATTCCTCACACATGCAACATATCCATTCTACCTAAATTTGTCCGAGAAATTCATTTTCTTAATTCTTTGGCAACCGTGCGCAAAGAACACTAAGAAGTTTACAAACTGACTGAATTTCTTTTCTCATAGTGTGTAGGAACCCTGGCAACAAAGTACCAGGGAAAAACTGAGCGGCCACGGTAATTTTGACGAGCGCTCGTGCAGTTTGTCGAGCGGTGCGGCACGTGAGTTCTGTCTTGCCGCGTTAATTCAATAATGTTGCAACGCGGACAAGACAGGGGGCGGGGAGGGTGCAAAGTCCCGCGATAACAAATTAATTGCTCATTCTTCGCAGTTATTATGCTTCTCTTTGACTGCAT